ATCCCGCGCTCCTGATAGGCACCGAGCGAACACCCGTTTCCTCCACGGTGGTGGTGGCGGGCATCTCCAGCCAGAGCGGCGTCTGGTCCGCGTTGATGATCCACGCGGTGTCGATGCCGCGCTCACGACGCTTGCTACGCACGAACTGCCAGAAGCTCTTGCACTGCTCAGCGACATCTGTACGGCGGTGGAAGAGAGGTAGGACACAGGCGGAGGGTGTTAGTACAAATAAACAAAAAACACGTGGCAAAGTACACGGGGTAATTCTTACGTGCGGCAGTTTTCTGGGCAACCCGGGTCTTCATGCGGACGCTCAGATTCCATTGCCGTCGAAAGCGCTCCGACCACCTCTGGCTTCCTTTCCAGTTCTTGTCCGGGTACAGAAGCTTCATGAACTCCCGCGACCACTCCTGCAGGCGGCCGACTGACACGGCGGTTCCCTTGCGGCGCCACTCGAGTAGCTTCCCGTACACCTTCAACTCCATCGGCCGGTACCAAGACGCTCGCCCGCGGCCGTGCATGCGCTTCCGAGCGGAGTGAACGTCCTTGAGGAATTCAGCCGCCCGCTTCCAGTTGGTGAGGCACTTGCGGTGGATTCCGCTCTCGCGTGCCAAGGCGCGCACCGACACCGCCACATCAAGCAGAGCAACCCACTTCAACTTCTCCGCGGCGGTGTAACCTTGCCGCTTGTGGTCGGTGAGCTTGTGCCTGGGAGAGGGGGGGCGGGCATCACGGTTCTGTGAAGAGGGGTGGGGTCGCTTGCGATTAAGCGGAGGATAGGATGGTATGGGCAGTTTCTTGGGTAGCCCGCCGCGTGACCAGTACTCCACGCCGTTGTCGCGATATATATATATATAGAGATATATATATATATGTTTATAACTGCCTGTAGCTTTAGCTTTAGTGTAGTTATGCTTCCTTGTTATTGGGTGGTGCACCTCTTGTTTGTGTTTCTCGACTATATCTTGTATGCTTTGCTTTTAGTGAAGCCAACTTGTTTGGTCAACTCTCTCGATCCTCCCTTGGCCTTGACCTCGACACTTGCTTGGCCTAGGCTACTAAGCCTAGGCCCTCCTTAAATCCGGTTACCAGTTAAGAGCATATCGTAACATGGGATCGAGCTACTAAGATCCTAGACCTAAGTTAATGGGCCCACCGTTGGCTTTGTGCACGCAGTTAGTAATGGCGCCCCTGCTGGCGCCGTCCACGCAGCTGCTGGCTCATGAGTTCTGCAGCAGCTGCGCGATTGATTCTGCTACCGTGCGACTCTGCAGCGCCTCCGCTCCTCGCTCTCCCCGTCTCATCGCTCGTCGCTCTGCCCGTCGTGTCGCTCCGTCGCGGCAGAGAGGAGAAAGAGGGGGAAGGGCGTGGCAGCGGACCGCTAGCAACGACCGCCAGCGTCGGCGCCAGCGCCAGCGACGACCGCTGCTGTCAGCGTCATCTCCAGCGGCGGTCGCCTGCACCATCGCCAACCACGCTCCCCGTCCACACCCTGTTCGCGCATCCTGTCCGCATCCCACCCGCCCTCCCGTCGACTTCGCAGCTGCTGTGAAGGGAGTGGCGGAAGTGGCGGGAGTGGCGAGAGAAGCTGCGCCATTCACCTGCTCGCGCCAGACCGCTCGCACCCTGCCGCCCGCACGCACTTCACCGCCCGTTTCCGTCCCGCTCGCTCGAAGGCCCCACGGGCCCTGCTCGTCACCCAACGCTGCGGCTGGTCGCGTGTGCAGCGACGGTCGCGGTTGGGGGAGGGGGGGGGGGGGGGGGGGGGGAGAGAGAGAGGGAAACGCGAAGGGCGTGGCGGCGGACCGCCAGCCAACTCGCCAACCGTCCGCGCATATCCCCCGTTCTCCCGTCAGAACCCGCACCCAGCGACCATCCCGTCGTCCCGCCTCGTCCTTGCCCCACCGTCAGATCCCGCCCCCCCCCCCCACCGTCAGATCCCGCGCCGTTTCCATATGAGGGGGAAGAGGTGGGGTGTTGGCCCGTGGGGGACGGCTGGGTGAGGGGGAGTGGCGGGGTTGGCGGTTCATGGGGGGGGGTGGGGAAGGGGGGGGGGGGGGGTGGTGGGCGGATGTCACCAGCACCAGCACTAGCACCGAAGCCCGTCACCAGCACCAGCACCGGCACCAACGCCGTCACGCCAGCACCAGGCACCAGCGCCAGCCGCCAGCACCAGGCACCAGCACCAGCACCAGCGCCAGCACCAGGAACCAGCACCAGCGCCAACCGCCAGCACCAGGAACCAGCACCAGCGCCAGCCGCCAGCACCAGGCACCAGCACCAGCACCAGCGCCAGCACCAGGAACCAGCACCAGCGCCAGCCGCCAGCACCAGGAACCAGCGCCAGCGCCAGCCGCCAGCCCCAGGAACCAGCACCAGCGCCAGCCGCCAGCACCAGGAACCAGCACCAGCGCCAGAGGGGTTGAGTGGGTGGGTAAGGGGGTGGAAGAAGTAAGTCGGGAATTTGCAGCCGTTGCCTGTAGCAGGCACGCCCCCGGAGGTGCTGAGCGGTGCTGTCCAGCTGCTCGTTGCAGCCACAGCGCCTGCTCTCACGCCCACCTGCCGGGTCCTGCACCTGTCGCTGCTGCATCTGCCGTGGCTGAGGTCACTGTGGCCATATCTGCCATCACTGCACCTGCTGCCTATAGCAGGCACGCCCCCGGAGGTGCTGAGCCGCGCTGTCCAGCTGCTCGTTGCAGCCACGGCGCTTGCTCTCACGCCCACCTCTCGGGTCCTGCACTTGCCATTGTTGCATTTATCATGGCTGATCTGTGTTGCTGTTTCCTCTGCTTCTCCTACCTCTTGCCCAGGTTCTGGGGGTGTGACTTGCTCTAGTTATGTGCTGCAGGCAGTTAAGGGGGTGTGTCGCGATATATATATATATATATATATATATACATATGTGTGTTTATAACTGCCTGTAGCTTTAGCTTTAGTGTAGTTATGCTTCCTTGTTATTGGGTGGTGCACCTCTTGTTTGTGTTTCTCGACTATATCTTGTATGCTTTGCTTTTAGTGAAGCCAACTTGTTTGGTCAACTCTCTTGATCCTCCCTTGGCCTTGACCTCGACACTTGCTTGGCCTAGGCTACTAAGCCTAGGCCCTCCTTAAATCCGGTTACCAGTTAAGAGCATATCGTAACAGCCGTCGTCGTCATCGTCGCCCGTAACACCTTCAGGAAACACATCCGCAGCGGTGCCTCCCTCGGCGCCGCCCTCGGCAGAAGCCTCCGTGCCACCCTCGGCGCCGTCACCGCCGCTCGCTTCCTCAGCGTCAGCAACATCATCGTCGGCACCGACTGCAGATTCGTCCCAAGGGCAATCGTCGGGCTGTCCCCAACGTGCTCCAGGCACGTGCTCCACTTCCACGTACTCATCTTGCGCCTTGTTAGACTCCGGTTCGGAGAGGTATTCGTCAAACGCCGATGGGAGCAGCAGCGTGAGCACGGGCTGATTGTCAGTGTGTTGCGGAGACACAGGACCCGGAGTACACGGAGGAGCAGGAGGAACAGGAGGCGCAGGAGGTGCAGGAGGCGAAGGAGGAGCAGGAGGTGCAGGAGGCGCAGGAGGTTGTGGTGGCTCTGGTGGTTCTGGTGGGATACGGGAGTACCACCCGTCAGCGTCTACTCTAAACGCGGGCCTTCGCATAGGCCTTTTCTTGAACAAGATGTGTGTGCCGCTGAATTCCGCCATGGCTTCCGCAGCCAGGCGAGAGTGACCAAGAAAGTGAACGAGAAACTGAGAGAAATGGAGAACAAATGAGAGATTCAAAGGGACCCCTTCTGGTTAGCGCCTCGGGGTCCTCGTCGGGGAGAGACGGGTACCCCCTGTATGAACCCGGAGAGGAGGGTATCGCGGCACGAACATGCTGCGCTGGCAGGGCATTCCAGCCCCTTCTCGATGGTTCGGGTGAAATGCAGCTGCGTGCCAGCGCATGAAAGCCTGATTGGGCCGCACGGCAACTTTTGTTGGAATTAAGGTTAATTCGGGTTGCTCCAATAAACATATGTAATGGTACATCTACACTATAGTAGTGTAGAATACATTGGTTGGGTTGGGAGAACATGTGGTGTATACTCTTTAGAGTGGACCACCTCCCAAACCCTATGGGTTAGGGTTCTCTCTTGTTGGAACTTCACTTCTTGGAAACCACTTTGGTTCTAACATGGTTCATGCCCAAGTTGGCTCATAAGATTCCTAGGCTTTAGGAGGATGTTCAAAGACTACTAAAGCTTCCGCTAGTAGCTTAGTCCATTCTAACATGGTATCAGAGCTAGGAAGGCCTAGCAATCTGTTGGAATAGGAGCTACCCAAGAAACTGGATCATAATACCTTCGTGGAAGCTAAATAGCTTCCGTCCCTCCCGAAGGGCTGCCGAAATTGCACCGTGGCGGACTCTGGACGTGGGAGGGGAGGAGGAGAGAAGAAACCCGCTGGAAATCGAGTGGATCCGTTTGGGAGGACGAGAGGAGCGACATCCACTCACGGAGAGGCTCGGTCAACGTTGGCGGATCAAGGCGTGCAGCACATCGTTGGAAAGCCCTCAATACGATCTACAACAGTTGCCTCGGGGTCATCACAAATTGACGAGCGGATCGGACGCAATTCGCGAACTACAGTCGGCGGACGAATTGGAAAATCGCGAATCGGGGAAGATTTAAAGCGCGGAAAAAAGATTGGAGGGCAGACGCCGACAGAGGAGGTCAAGGCGCATCCAGCAAGCCAAAAATTGGGAGAAACGGCCGAGTCTTCGTCGACGGAAAATCGGCCAACTTTGACGAGTTTAAGCGGCCAGCTCGGACGCGGGATCCAGAAGCGCGATACATCATCGGAACGGTCTCGGAGCATTCATCTGAGCCAAACGGCTCATCATTCGGACATTCGAGTGCGGAGTTACGCTCTAATAACCAAGAGGGTGTGAATCTGCCCGCATCATCTTCACCGTCAACGCCGTTGCCTCCACCACCACCTCAACGTCAATCTTCAGTGCTTCTGCCACAAATGGATCATGACTCAGGCGAAGGGAAGCTGGAGAGTGCGCCAAAGTTCGACGGGAGCGACTATTGGACTTGGAGCTTCCGATTCGAGCAATGGGCAGAGGCACACGATCTATGGGGGTACTTTGATGGTTCAGAGGAGCGGCCTGCATCGGGTGACGCACGGCTAAAGTGGGAGAGGAGAAATCAGAAGGCATTCGCCCAATTCTGCAATGCCTTGGTGCCAGATGAGCTGATTCGCTTAGTACGGGAGTTCGGCGGCAAGACCGAGTTGGGCAGCGCACCTATTGATGGCGGAACAAGAGCGGTCACCCGAGTTCCTGCAGGCACAGCAGCGGCATATACACGAGTGAAGGAGTTCTACCTTCAGCGTGGATTGTGTAACCGGATGGCACTCTCTGAGGAGCTCTCTTCCTTGAAGATGAAAGAAGGGGAGGGAGTGGCTGCATACTGGGCGCGTGCCGAGGACTTGAGGTCCAAGTACTTGGCTGCAGGAGGGAAGGAGGAGGTTGAGGAGTGGATGATGAGGGTACTCAAAGGACTACCTCCTCACTTTGAGATGCTGAAGGTAGTGCTGAACAACCAATCACCATCGCTTACTAAGGATCAGCTGCTTACCTCTTTGAGGAGCGAGGAGATGCGGATTGGTGTCGCACCAAGATCGGATGGTGTAGCCACTTTTGGAGCGGGTACGAAAGTGGGCAGCATCGGCAGGGGAAATTGGGACAAGGGAGGAAAGCATGGAGGCAGCGGTAACAGCAGCGGCACCAACTCGGGCAGATGGGGTCAGGGGAAAGGCAAAGCAGGAGTGCTTGATTTCCCTTGGGGGTCCAAGGGCATGGCTCCTAGGGGGTTGTGTCATGGCTGTTGGGATGAGGGACATGCATGGCAGCGATGTCCTCACCGACCTAAGGGAGGCATTCCGGCATTCTTACAGCGGGGGGGTCGTGGGTCCAACGGCAAGGCACAGGTGGCGGATGAGGAGGAGCAGGATGACAAGGCAGAGGTAGCGGTTGGAGAGGCAGTTGCAGCAGTAGGAAGGGAGCAGCCGCGAGAGGGGTGGTGGATTGACAGTGGAGCCAGCCACAACTTTACTCCTTATGCATCCGACTTCAAGAGTAAGCTTGAGCCACCTGAGATTCGGGGAGTTAGATTGGGAGATGGACGGGTGGTGAAAGCTGTTGGCATGGGTGAGGTGCCAGTGGTTGGTGCTGGAGGTCAGCTGCTGAGGATTCAAAAGGTCCACCTTGTGCCTGAGATGCACACACGTCTGCTGTCAGTCCCACACCTCACCTCTCAGGATGTCATCGTCACATTCCAGGGCAAGAGATGTGTTATCAAACGGGGAGAGAGGGTGTTGGCGATTGGAGAAAAGGAGGGGGGAAGTGACCATGGTTTGGTGCGGATGTCTCTTCCTCTTGCTCGGGGCACACAGGGCAGTGCTCTTGCTGCTGGATCCTCCTCCTCATTTTCCCCATTGACCCTTGCTCACCGCCGCCTTGGTCATACCGCCCCCACAACACTGCAACAGATGGCTCGAGGGAACAGTGTACTGGGCTTGGAGATTTGGGGGGGGAGCACTGATTGCTCTCCATGTGAGCCTTGCTTATTGGGAAAGTCGGCTCGAAAGTCGTTTCCCCATGAGGCGTCTCGGGCACTTGGGCCTTTGGATGAGGTCCATATGGACTTGTGGGGGCCAGTGCGTACACCGTCACTGGGAGGAGCGGTGTATGTCCTCAGCCTCATTGACGACTTCACAAGACGAGTTTGGTCGTTCCCACTCCCCAACAAGGAATCAGCCACAGTTGCAAAAGTTCTTCGACAGTGGCATAAGGACGTGGACTTGGAGTGTGGGCGGAAGCTGAAGGCTGTTCGCTCAGACAGGGGTGGCGAGTTCTTGGGGGACGCTGTGAAAGCATGGAAGGCGGAGTTTGGCATTAAAACGCAATTGAGTGTCGCAGATACTCCGCAGCAGAATAGGGTCGTTGAGAGGTGTCACAGGACGATGGTAGAGGGGATTCGCACATTGTTGGTCGACAGTGGTCTCCCTGCTCGCTTGTGGGGTGAAGCATTGATGTGGGTTGTGTGGGTTAAGAACAGGGTCACCCACAGTGCTTTGCCTACCTCCATCACACCAATGGAGGCGTGGTCCGGCCAGAAGCCGCATGTGGGCATGGCTCGGATTTGGGGTTGCATGGGGAGTGTCATGCTGCATGGGCATGAGAAGGGTGGCAAGCTTGATGCACGGGCTGTCATGTGTGTCTGTGTTGGGGTGGACATGGAGAGCAAGGGTTGGCGCATGCTGGACCCTTCTCTCATGCGCATTCGCATTGCTCGGGATGTTGATTTTCTTGAGAATGTGATGTGGAAGGATTGGGACAAGGCAAAGGGATTTGGGGAGCTTCTGCAGGATGCAGCTGAGATTTCCCAACTCCTCCCTCTTCCACTCTCGCCACCCTCAGCAACGGTTGACGACGCTGAGATGCCACCTTCATCACCGCCACAGGCACCTCTGAGTGTGTCGGTGCAGCAGCAGCCCACCCCTCTACAGCAGCTCAGTGGCCCCTCGGTCATTCAGCGGCGATCCGCTACACATGCTACTTCCTCTTCCTCCTCCTCTGTTCAGCGCTCTGTCCCTCTCTCTATGGGTGCACCTACGTCACCAGCGACTACCTCCCCACCACCGGTTACGGGTTTGCAGGTGCTTGGTATCCAGTCTGGTACAGGTGGTGAGGAGGTAGGGGGGGATGCTGGTGTGGTTGAGGGCATGCTGTGTTTGGCCAGGGAGGTGGAGGGTGTTGCACTAGCAGGTGTGAGCACCGGTGATGTCCCACGCACACTCGCTGAGGCACTGCGTGGCCCTGAGGGCCCTGCGTGGAAGGCAGGCGCTGAGAAGGAGGTGAATGCAATGCGCACTATGGGTGTATGGGATCCAGAGCCGGTCGACTTACCTCCAGGTAAGAAGGCCATTGGGGTCAGGTATGTTTTCCGCAGGAAAACGGACAAGGAGGATAAGGTGGTACAGCACAAGGTTCGACTTGTTGCTAAGGGGTACACTCAGGAGCCCGAGAAGGACTATGATCAGGTATTTGCCCCTGTGGGCAAACTCACCTCAGGTCGGGTGCTTCTTGCAGAAGTCGCGGTAAAAGGGTGGCATGTACAACAGGAGGATGATGATCATGCTTACCTCAATGCAGTCCTTCAAGAGGAGGTGTATGTGAGGCAACCTGAGGGATTTGATGATGGTACAGGTAGGGTGTATCGCTTGCGCAAAGCTCTCTATGGGCTCAAACAAGCGCCTCGTGCTTGGAATGAGGAGATTGGTACCACTCTGATTGCAGCAGGGTTTGACCGCAGTGCATGCGATGAGGCTCTGTACATCAGGTTTGTGGATGAAGAGCCAGTGTATGTATTGGTATATGTGGATGACCTCTTGCTTGTGTCTCCACGCTTGGAGCTGATCGGTCAGGTCAAGGAGGTGCTTGCTCAGAGGTACCAGATGAAGGATCTAGGTGAGGTATCCACGTACCTTGGTGTGGAGGTTCGCAGGTCGGTCAAGGATGGGTGGTTGGAGATTGGTCAGGAGAAGTATGTCCGTGGTCTCCAGGGAAGGTTTGGTGATCTGCTGAAGGAGACCCATAGGGTGCATACTCCAATGTCACCCAATGATCTCTCTAAGATCAGGAATGGTACTTGGTCGACAGAAGAAGGTACTGCAGCTGATGTCAAGGTGTACCAGAGTCTCATTGGAAGCTTGATGTATGCTGCTATGACTACCCGTCCTGACATGTCCTTCACTGTCAACACCCTTGCACAGTCCTGCGTGGCACCAAGACGCATTCACATGCGCGCTGCACTGAGAGCACTCAGGTACTTGGTCGACACAGCTGATCGTGTCATCAGGTATGAACGCCAAGGTGGTGAGCAGGTTGTTGGGTACACCGACTCGGATTGGGGTGGTGAGACTGATGGCAAGAGTCGCTCCGCCTACATCTTTAAGTTGGGAGGAGGAGCTATCAGCTGGTATAGAAAAAAGCAAGACAGTGTTGCAGCAAGCGTTTCTGAAGCTGAGTATAAAGCTCTATCGGAGGGGGCCAAGGAGGCCATTTGGTTGAGGAGTTTGTTGGCAGAGATGCATGTGGGGGATGGGGGGGCTATTCCATTGTTCTGTGATAATGAGGCTGCTGTCTCCCTTGCCCACAATCCCGTTCTCCATCAGCGCACCAAGCACATTAAGGTGGCATGGCACTTTGTACGGGATGCGGTGCGCCAGCAGGAGGTCGAGGTGCACTCAGTACGCTCCCACCTCCAGGATGCCGACATGCTCACCAAAGCTCTCCCAAGCTTGCAGCTGCATGAGAACCTTGAGCGCATCGGCATGTGAGTGATGGCTGCGAATGCCAAGACTTCATTCGCTGGAGGGGTTGTGTTTTGATTTATGGGTGCACTTTGTAATGCTTATTGGAGCAAGGGAGGGTGTTGGAATTAAGGTTAATTCGGGTTGCTCCAATAAACATATGTAGTGGTACATCTACACTATAGTAGTGTAGAATACATTGGTTGGGTTGGGAGAACTTGTGGTGTACACTCTTTAGAGTGGACCACCTCCCAACAGGGCCTCAGATTCGTTTTGGGTGACCCTGAGCACTCAGGGTCCTTTGGGGCTGTAACACTGATCATCAGGGTTGTAAATGGAGAAACACTGATTTCTCAGGGTTTAAAAAAAAAAAACCCTGACACATCAGCGTGAGTTTAAAAAAAACACTGGCGGTGAGAATCCACAACAATCACAAGTATAAAAAGTTAAGAAAAGTTCGAATATTGTTCTAATGAACTTCTAACTACAGGCACAGACCACTTGGCGCTCACACCGCACACACAATTCACATCACACACATGTCTTCATCTTCGTCACTACCACCATCGCTCATAGAACCGTGCCTGTGCACGGGGGTCTCTGTCCCCCACCCAGAGCCAGCACCACCAGCATCATCCTCGTCCACCTTCTCTTTCCCCTTAGCACTAGCTTGCTTCTTTGGTGCTGCCACTGTTGTGATGGGCTTGCGCTTCTTGTACGCCCTCCAGATCTTCACCACCTCCACCCAGTCGGGCTCGTACGGCAGCAATGTCATGCACATGAGGTCCGACAGCCGTGCATCCTTGATGGCACCCCTCAGCCAGCTCTTGATGATGTTTTGACGCGAGAACCCCCGCTCGCACTCGACTGTGCTCAACGGTAGCACAGCGACAGCCATCCACAGCTTCACCAGGTTGGGGTACGCGTCCTCCCAGTCGGGAGACCTCAGCATCGCCGAGAGACCCGGGTAGAACTTTCTCTCGGACTTCGGGGCTCCAGCGAGAACCGTGCAGAACGTGCGGAGCTCCTTGAACGCCTTCTTCTTGTTGACACCTGGAGGGAGTCAGGGAGTGCGCAAGCACAAGGAAAAGAATAAGGTAAGCAAGGCTCACCAGACAAGTGGTGCCAGTGTTTAGGTGCTACACAACAAAGCAGCACAAACAACGATGCACAGACCGAAGGGAAGTACGTACCTGGAACGATCCCGTCGCACTCTTGGGCCCTGAAGAGCGTCGTCAGGGACTCAAGGTGCTCCGTGCAGACCATGGAACGCTCCTGCCGTCCATGGGGCCACTCGTCGGGCATGAACAGCTTCACACCGCTCAGCTTGTCGAGTGAACCCAATCGCTCATCCAGGTTATGCACTAGCGCCTCCGCCATCGCCGTGCACTGCTCCACGCATCGGTCATGGGTCCCTGCAATGGGGTAGCCTTCAAGGGGGGAATCATGCAGCACGTAGCAGTGAGAAGTGGGCCGGCCGTCGGAGTCAACCCACTCAACCTCCACTCTCCGCACCCCGTTCGGTCCATGTCGTGCAATGAAGGGCGACAGCTTCTCGCTCAGGCCGCCGCCGAAGTCGTCGCCACAATCCACATAACGGTTGTTGATGTGGGTTGTCATGCGACGGATCTGGCCTTGAATCGCCAGCAGGTCAATCTGCCACACAAAAACAGTAGGGAAAACACAGCCAGGTTTCAATCATGAAGCAGAACTAGCCGGAGCTAGCGGCCCTAAACCCACAGTCCTCACGGCAGGTGCATGCACACAGGGATGCACAGTGTTGTTGGAATCACGGCAAAAGCAGGATCTCACCTGTCGATGCTGGAACGTCTTGCTGAGCACGTTCAGCTGTTCCAGCACGTCAGCGAGGAAGCGCAGCATGAACTGGAATCTGTAGCTTGTCACCATCTGGTACATGGGCTTGTTTCCCAGCTCGTGCACCATCACGACGACACCCGGAAGGACTGCAAGAAGTCGGCAGACTGCATCGCCGCGCGAGAGCCAACGCACATCATTGATTCCTTGGAGCTCCAGGTTAGTCTGAGTGAAGACTTCCTGAAGGTCCAGGAAGCGCTGGTGCCAGGTTCCGGATGAGCCGAGGTAGGTGGAGAGCCAGCGGATGAAGCTGTCGACCATGCCAAACTCCGGTAGGGACTCTGCCGCGTCCTTGGCCGCGAGCGCTTCCCTGCGATTAAAACAAAAAACAGTCGCATTCGGTTAAGTAGAAGGAAGGACACCATGTTCAAATAACTACACACATCGGACAGTGCATCAACCACCATACCTGTGAGCGATGCAGTGGCAGGACACCAGATGCGGAACGCGCGTCCTCAGCCTCGCCACCAGCCCGTTTTTGGATCCGACCATGACGCTCGCCCCGTCGGTGCTGATGCCCGTGATTCGGCGCAGGTCAATGCCGACGGCATTGACATGGGATAAGAGCAACGCCACCAGCGATGCGGCGTCTGCCCTGTCCACGGTTAGGAGGGCAAAGAACTCGGTGACTACTGCCCCGTCGCGGATGAATGTGGCGTAGATGATGAGATGCTTCCCACGGCATCTGTCCGTAGACTCGTCACAGCTGAGGCCGATGTAATGGCTTTGTAGGACGTGTTCCAGTTGTGTTGTCTGCAGCCACACGGCCGTTGCCTGTGTTAGTTCCCCAAAGCCGTACCTGCATAGACACCGGAAACATTAGTTAGGCTTACGTGGTTGTGAACAAGAGAGGCTTTTCAGTGCATGCGCTCGTAAGCACTTACGTGGTGTAGTAAGTGCCGTATCCCCTTTTGGGAAAGCCGCGGACCTCGTTCTGAGCCATGAACCGAACGAGGCGCACCCACGTCTCCATCGGCAGATGGTTCTGGGTGGTGAAGTGAAGGGAGTTCAGAAGGCCGATGACGCGGGTCATCTCGTCATCTTTGGCGAGCGGATGCTCGTCAATTCGCGGCTGCTTCCCAGCCTGAGCTAGCATCTGCTTCTGGTGATTGATGGCCAACTGGTGCTTGTTCGTCGCGGCATGCCGCTTAAAGGCTTGGGTCTGAAGATCGGTTGCACCGTGCCCACTCTTGCCACACTTGCCACCGTCACCTGCAAAGTCGATGCACAATCTGCACTTGAACGCAGGCATGCCAGCAGTGTTTTTGATGAGGATGAGCCATGGGTAGTCTGTCGACCACGTCGACTTGAACGTTTCCAGGGCCTCTTCGTAAATCAGAGTGGTTAGTGACGGTTTATTAGAATTGGATGGCATGGGCATAACGTGGTTTACCGACTCGCCCGCATCAGCGAGAGGACGTCCAGGATCTGTTGGATCGGCCCAACGGAGCACGGCCTGCTTGTAACGAGGCGGAGGCTTCGACGACGATGCACGAGATGGCAAGCGGACGCTCGGTCCGGCTGCTGACGGCACGGCCGGCTTAGCAGTATGCGCGGGCTGGGGGCGATCGTCTCCGCGGCAGAGGCCAGACGCTTCACCATTGTTTGCTACTGAGGCGACGGGAGCTGGCTTCTCTTTTTCATGGGAGAGCGCAGAAACTAGAAAATCTAGTCCCGTTTTGGCCTCCCGCATCTCGGTGGCGGCGTAAAGTGCATCGTCGTCATCATCACCGCAGCTGTTCTCACCGGTGATCGCCATGGCGCGTTCACGCCACCTTCCTGAATCGGTGAGTAGTAACGAGAAACCCTGGGAGAGAGAGAGCCTGCCGAGCAGGCTTCAGGGAGACTGCAGAGATTGATGTTTCGGAAAGGGATGGAGTCTGGAGAGCTGGAACGGCAGATTCACGAGACCCCCTGCGTGGGGTGGCTGAGCGGGCCGCCCCAGCACGCCCTGCCTTGGTGGAAAGAACAAGGCTGACCACTGGCCCACTGGGCCACTAGGCTTGGTTGTTTGTGCGCATCAATGGAAAGTAATGACAAGTGTTGGTTATCCAACGTGACAACGGTACATTGCTTCAGCTGGGACAGCCAATCTCTTTACGCCGTTTTGCCAACACAGCCCAAAATTACCCCGTTCAACTGTATCTGGGCGCGCCGCAGGGTGGCGTCGGTGCAGGGTGGGTACATGCATGATGACGGTGCGCAAAACTACGAGAATCACGAAGTTTTCGGTTTCAGGGTCGTCCCCGATACAACACTGACTCGTCAGTGTCGACAAACTAGAAACACTGGAAAATCAGGATTAGGAAAAGAAAAACACTGATTCATCAGGGTTGTAAAAACAAAAGGCTGATTCATCAGGGTTACAATAAAAAACCGGGGTCAAACATCAGGAAATCATGGTAAAATTCCTGGAATCTGAGGCCCTGCCTCCCAAACCCTATAGGTTAGGGCTCTCTTTTGTTGGAACTTCACTTCTTTGAAACCACTTTGGTTCTAACATGGTTCATGCCCAAGTTGGCTCATAAGATTCCTAGGCTTTAGGAGGATGTTCTAAGACTACTAAAGCTTCCGCTAGTAGCTTAGTGCATTCTAACAACTTTCACGTCAGCGCTGGTAGGTGCGCTGCTCCTGGACGGGCTTTGTGCGGTCGGAAATCGAAGCGCGGCAGTTTTTGGCGGGATTTCATGCATGATCCCACGCGCACGTTACACAGTTGTGTTCGCCTTATTGCGGGCTTCGATTTGATACTTATAAATTACAAATTCATTTTTGCCATGATATAAGCGCCGGCGCTTATGGCCGTTATTCAATTACAAGCGCCACCCCTAAAAAAATCGATTTTATTATAAGCGCATATGCGCCTATATCCGGGGTAATACGGTATTGTCATAATCTTTAAATTTCGAAATCTATTTCAAAATTTGTCATATTCTGCTGGAACCAGACCCTGCCATATGTAGGTGCTGCTCAGGGCCTCAGATGAGAAGAAACAAGAGTGGATGAACTGTGAATGAAGTGGGTACAAGTACTAACCCTAATTGGGTTGTACCCCCTATGGGATACCCCACTACAGGCTACACAAAAGTATAAGCTATAACGTTCTGACACACCCCCATAGGCAAAGTGGGGGAGAACAAGGGGTCACAAGACCAGTCAAGCAAAGCAAAGCAAGGCAAGCTCAGGGTGGATCACAACGTCACCACACATTCTGAGCACAAGTTCAAGGCCAGAAGGCCAGTTCACATGCAGGAGTACATATATATATAGATAAGGCTAGACAAGCAAGAGCAGGTATATATATATGTAACAGTACAAGCAAGGTCAAGGGGTGACCAAGTGAGGCAAGACAGGGACAAGACCCAGCTGAGTGCAGAAGCGCTGATGATCACAAGGCGGAAGAGCCTTGGTGAAGACATCAGCAGTGTTGGCCTCAGAGGCCACGTACGCAAGCCGCAACTGACCACGCTGCTGTAGCTCACGAGCAAGGAAGTAGCGAAGAGCAATGTGCTTAGTTCTGTGCTCCAGTCTCTGCTCTCGACACAAGGCCAGCATGGCCTTGTTGTCTACGTACAGGACTGGAGGAGAACGAGGCGGCTCTCCAAGGTCGGTCAGCAGGTAGGCGAGCCAGCGAAGCTCCTGGGCAGCCATGGCCCCAGCGTAGATCTCAGCCTCACAACTGGAGCCGAGAACAGAAGACGAGCGAGTAGCCCGCCACGAAACAGAGCCGGAACCGAGGCTGAAAGTGTAACCCTGTGACGACCGCTGCGTAGCCTGGTCGTCAGCCCAAGAAGCGTCCGCGTGCCCAGTGAGGACCACTGGACTCCGCCCTCCAAGCACTAGCCCCATGCCCGACGTACTGCACAAGTAGCGCAACACCCTCTTCGCAGCAGCCATGTGCTCTGGTCGGTGTCTCCCAGGAGCAACATAGCGTGCAAGAATGCTAAGAGGGTATGCAAGGTCAGGTCGTGTGCAGGTCATCAGGTACATGAGGCAGCCAACAAGCTCTGGATACGGGCCACTCGACTCTACGGACTCATCCGAAGGCAGAGCTGAGAGTGAGTGGCGAGTAGGCAGAGGAGTGGCCTGAGGCGAGGAGTACGTGAAGCCGAAGCGCTGAAGGACCTGCTGCACCATGTGTGACTGAGTCAGGGTAATGGTGCGGCGTGCTCTGTCCCGGGTGATCTGCAAGCCAAGGTAGCTGCGCAGTTCACCCAGGTCTGTGCACGTGTGTCTCTTCTGCAGCTCGGACTTCACGTGGGCGAGTCCAGTAGTGTCAGCTGTGGCAAAGACTAAGTCGTCGACGTACACGAGGATGTAGAACGGCGGCAGAGAGGTGTCGGTGCGCAGAAACAGCGACGGGTCGGCAGTAGAAGGAGCAAACCCAAGAGCCGCAAGCGTAGTCCTCAGTGTGTCGTGCCACTCACGTGGCGCCTGGCGGAGACCGTAGACTGGACGCCGGAGACTCCACTGGGTACCAGGAGGGAAAGACCCAGTGAAGCCAGGTGGGCGGCGCAGCCAGATCTCCTCGTGCAGGCTGCCCTGCAAGAAAGCAGTGCTGAAGTCGAGAGAGTGCAGCTCGTAGTCACGGTGAGCAGCAACGTGTAGCAGTACCCGAAGAGTGGTCATCTTCGGGGTGGGAGAGAAGGTCTGAAAGTAGTCAACTCCCTGCCGCTGACTGAAGCCACGAGCCACGTAACGAGCCTTGAAGACAGGCGGAGAACCCGGCGGCCGCTTCACCCTGAAGATCCACATGCCACTGACGATGTTCGCCCCAGGAGGGGGGACAGCGTCAACGTAGGTGCCTGTGGACTTCCAGGAAGCCATCTCTGCATCCATAGCTGCCTACCACTGAGAGGAGTAGGGACCCTCTATCGCCTCCGCGTAAGAGCGCGGAGTCGGGATGTCAAGTGCATCCGGGTCTCCCTCAGGGGTAAGCAGTACGGACACGAGATGAGGTGAAGCAGCTGCCAGACACTGGAACTCCTCCTGCCTGTCCTCAAGGACGTCCGTGCCAAGGGCACACTCACCCCCGACGGACGGAGGACAGACAGACTCAGACTCAGCAACAAGACTAGCAGCGTAGTCTAGGCGACAGCGAGCAGCAAAGTCGACGAGCTCAGCAACTAGGGCAGACGCAGCAGTAGACTCGAAAGAAGGGTCAGTGACGACAGTAGCAAGGAGACGCGTGACAGTAGGACTGGCAGCACGAAGAGAGTCCGACTCCGGGTCGGGAAGAGCAGGAAGGGAGGACTCAGGAGGAGAAGGCAAAGGGGCACGCAGAGGAGCAGTGGACGGACGCAGAGACATCCGGTGCGTGCCAGGGACAGGAGGAGGACGCGGACGCGAACCACGACCACTAGCGCGAGCAGTACGGACAGGCGACGCAGGGCGAGACGCAGGCTCACGACGCTCAGTAAGACCTCCAGTAGGACCAGTGTAGGGAGAAGGAGCAGGCAAAGGGGAGGTAGGCTGTAGCTGTGACTGCGACGGGACAGGCTGTGGACCCTCCAAGGGAGGAGGAGGACCAGCAGAAGGCGGAAGACCAAGAACCTGCTGCAGGAGTGGAACGAAGTACGGTCGAGGCCGCGTAGCGACGCCAGAAACAGCAGGGACAGCACCAGTACCCCCAGTAGGAGCACCCGCTCCAGCAGCACCTCCAGCAGCTCCACCAGTGGTAGCCGCAGCGCCAACACCCTCAGCAGCACCAGCTCCAGTCGAACCTGCAGGCCCAGCAGCTCCAGTACTCCCAGTACGAGCACCTCCGGGACCCGCAACAGCAGCACCCTCAGTAGCCGAAGAACCTCCAGCACCAGCAGCACGGCTCCAGCGCCGGGCAAACCACTCGCGCAGCTCGTGTGGAGAGAGTGGCTCCCGACGAGACGAAGCACGCGGAGAACCTCCAGGCGGAGGACCTCCAGGCTCAGCACCCCCAGACCCAGCACCCCCAGGCGTAGCACCCCCACACTCAGCACCCCCAGGCTCAGCACCCCCAGGCTCAGCACCCCCAGGCGTAGCACCCCCAGACTCAGCACCCCCAGGCTCAGCACCTCCAGGCTCAGCACCCCCAGTCTCAGCACCCCTAGGCTCAGCACCCTCAGCAGCACCAGAGTCACCAGTGACCTCGACAGGCTCGGCTGCGTCTACCTGGGACACACCTGAAGGGGCAGGACCCTGAGGGGGGAGGGGGTCTACCGGGGGGGGACCTGGTACAAGGAAGAGCGGGGGCGGGGGGAGGGACGGAGTGCGGTAGGGGAAGAGGCGGTAGTAGGGGACCGACTCGTCGAATGTGACGTCCTGGGAGGACAGAACACGGCGAGAGGTGGGGTGGTAGAACTGCCACCCAGGAAGACGCAAGGAGCAGCACGAGGGGACAGCTTGTCCGCAGACAAGTCGCGGACAAACGCCCGAGATCCCCAGACCCGGAACGCCGACGCATCGCCAACCTTCCCCGTCCACAGCAAGGCTGGGGAGGTCTCCGGCGTGGAGACCCTAGGGTGAAGGTTGATCTGATGCGCCGCGTACCTCACCGCAAACGGCCACAGAAAATGGGGGGCAGCCGCATGCATCATAGACGTACGAGCGACGTCCATGACCATGCCAATGCGGCGCTCAGCAATCCCATTTTGCTGCGGAGAGTCCGGAAGTGTGAAGGTCTGACGGATGCCTCGTGCACGACAGTAGGCTCGCAGAAGGCCAGAGGAGAACTCCCCGCCTCTGTCCGAGTGCAGACGCAGAACAGGAAAGTCGGAGCCAAAG